CTTGTCAAAGAACAAAAGATAACGTGAAACATATATAAAATAATGGTTTACTTGAACCCAGCTAAATAAACTTAAATCAATAAACAGCGGATAACGAATAACAAAGTCGATAGATTCGATATATGACTTCTGCCAAGAGAACTAGAATTCTACGTCACGCTTGGTGCAGCAGACTGCATTCTACAATGAAACATTCACACCTTCGAATTCGATGTTTAGCTAACTGTTGAGAGGGAAATATAACGGCTACACACGTCATGCCAATCAAAAACTTATCATGTACAATCTTTAATTTCTAGATAATGATATCCGTGCTCTCCAGTTCTTGATACACATCATGAGCTTCTGATGGAAATTGCGGTTTTGTGGTATATGGCCCTCTTTACTCTCGATATTGAATTTGGATCCGGATACTATCAATGAGGGTTTGATGTTTCCAAAGCTATTGGTTCTTGTGGTTTCTTGTTTCTTGTTTCTTGTTTCTATTGTTTCTTGTGGTCTCCTCGTGCTGCATAAAACGCAAAAACACATGATCAAAAACGATACCTTTTTGTCTTAATTTGAGATAACGACATATATAGGGGATTCAATATGCGCCATTGATGTTAGTGCGGTATGAATAAAAATAAAAACGAAACAACTTAAACTACTGAAAGAAAGAGAAAAAGATTAAGAAGGAAATGGGAAACTTTTCAAAGTTTTGTCGGCTTGGTAAATAAACAAATGAAAATACCATTTAATATATTATTACTTTTAAAGATAACGTTACACTAATACTAAATTCACTTCCACTTGTCAGATGATTCAGTGCGCTGCAGCAGCTGAATGCTATTTTTTTCCACACATTTCATTTTCTGAATTCTGCATATATATATGGGAGAGATAGATAGAATGAAACAGAGAGAGAGAGAGAGAGAGAGAGAGAGAGATCCTTGTGTCCCCTGTAGTGGCTAGCACTGAAGAGCAACATTGTTTCACTCTAACCAGGTAGGTGTATTTTAAAGTGACTGTTGCCAGCGTTGATATATAGAACTAGCGTTTTACACAATGCTAGCGCTACAGGTATAGAGTCTACATTTTATCACATTCTATTTTCTGTAAGATGCAACTAGAATCACTTGAGCCAGCATAAGTATACCAAAAAATTCGTCGTCCGGTCTATCAGGTTTTCATGTTTTTTGTGTCTTAATTTAGTCACAGTGACATAACTTGCCATGTCTCTATTCCGCTTCCGTTTGATATTATAATCATTTATTCTCGCATTAATTGGCGGTTCTGTAGGAAAGAGAAAAAAAAAGGAGAGCAAAGGTGATGATATTGTGGCGAGTAAAATTACTAACCAAGATCTAAGCAGTGAAGTAAAAACAGAAAACGAAAGGAAAAAGAGAATGAAGGAAAAAGGAAAAAAGGAGAAAAAAATGCACGAATTCAAAGAATAACTAGCAAATTTGCGTTTTAGTAGTATTCCCAATTTCGACTTTTTGTTTCTAAAATATGCAAATTGTTCATTTTATTTGATAATATCTTAATTATTAGGCAATATCGACACCACACACGCCCAACTCATATCCCCAGTCCCCGAGGGAGAAGGTCGCATTGGAATGGACTAGAGAGTCTGGTGATTGCTCCAGGGTAGTACCAAAGCCCAGTGACAGAACCAACAGCGATGAAAACAAGCTTCTTGTAAATACCGCGCATGAACTAAAACAATTGCGTTTTGAGATATTCAGTCGTCGCGTAATTTTATTATGGATATACTTGCTATGAACCAGAAACATTATAATTATTCTTTATAGATTAGAAAATTGTCACTGTCATATT